ATCAGATCCCACAACGGTTAAACACGTGACGCGCTTCGACCCCAACTTGGATAGGTCCCTTGCATAACTCACCCCCAAGCTATTTTACCAAGAAAATTTAAAAATTATTATTTGTCCAGTGTAATTATTAAATTCTTCCCAAATTCTATTAATTATAAATGGATCTAATTTATATAAACCAAAGGAAATATTCATATTATTGTCAAAACTGCTTTGACAATAATATGAATATTTCCTTTGGTTTATATAAATTAGATCCATTTATATTAATAGAATTTGGGAAGAATTTAATAAACACTGGGCAAATAATAATTTAAAAATTTTCTTGGTACAATAGCTTGGGGTGAGTTGTTGCAAGGACCTATCCCCAAATTGGGTCGCCGCGCATCACGTGTTTTAAACCCTTGGGATCTGATAGTGAGGTGCTGGCCAGACCCCTTTTTATAGCTTCCTGGATGCTTTACTTTCCCTAGTTCCTTGATAATGGGAAGTAGTCAAGAAAGCGCTTTGGGAAATTTTTCTATTCTTTCAGAGTGGTTTGTTTTGCATATATATATATATATATATATATTTTATATATATATATATAATTTTATATATATATATAAATATATTATATATAATAATATATATACTTATATATATATATAAAATATATTATATATATAATATATATAAATATATATATAATATATATATATATATAATATATATATAGGGAGTAGGTTTTGGGAGACATCAAGCACCCAGGGAAGTACTACCGTCCTGCCAGATGACTGTGAAACAGAAACCCGTAACTGTTTTGCATGATGGTAGGATTGCTGGTTTCTTTTTCTGTCTCATAAACACGCTAGATAACAGGGATATCTTGCTACTCCAACTTACACTTTGGTCACACTTCACAGACACGCACATGCACATATATATACATACATCTAGTTTTTTCTCCTTTTTCTAAATAGCTCTGTTCTTCTTTATTTCTTCTATTGTCCATGGGGAAGTGGGAAAAGAATCTTTCCTCCGTAAGCCATGCGTGTCGTATGAGGCGACTAAAATGCCGTGAGCAATGGGCTAGTAACCCTTCTCCTGTAGACATTTACTAAAAAAAGAGAGAAGAAAACTTTATATAAACTGGGATGCTTGAATGTGCGTGGATGTAGTGCGGATGACAAGAAACAGATGATTGCTGATGTTATGAATGAAAAGAAGTTGGATGTCCTGGCCCTAAGCGAAACAAAGCCAAGGGGGTAGGTGGTGTTTCGGTGGGGGGAAATAAATGGGATTAAATCTGGAGTATCTGAGAGAGTTAGAGCAAAGGAAGGGGTAGCAGTAACATTGAAGGATCAGTTATGGAAGGAGAAAGAGAATATGAATGTGTAAATTCAAGAATTATGTGGATTAAAGTAAAGGTTGGATGCAAAAAGTGGGTCATAATAAGCGTGTATGCACCTGGAGAAGAGAGGAATGCAGAGGAGAGAGAGAGATTTTGGGAGATGTTAAGTGAATGTATAGGAGCCTTTGAACCAAGTGAGAGAGTAATTGTGGTAGGGGACCTGAATGTTAAAGTAGGAGAAACTTTTAGAGAGGGTGTGGTAGGTAAGTTTGGGGTGCCAGGTGTAAATGAAAATGGAAGCCCTTTGATTGAACTTTGTATAGAAACGGGTTTAGTTATAGGTAATACATATTTTAAGAAAAAGAGGATAAGTAAGTATACAAGATATGATGTAGGGCGAAATGATAGTAGTTTGTTGGATTATGTATTGGTAGATAAAAGACTGTTGAGTAGACTTCAGGATGTACAGGGTTTATAGAGGGGCCACAGATATATCGATCACTTTCTAGTTGTAGCTACACTGAGAGTAAAAGGTAGATGGGATACAAGGAGAATAGAAGCATCAGTGAAGAGAGAGGTGAAGGTTTATAAACTAAAAGACGAGGCAGTTAGGGTAAGATATAAAACAGCTATTGGAGGATAGATGGGCTAATGAGAGCATAGGCAATGGGTCGAAGAGGTATGGGGTAGGTTTAAAAATGTAGTGTTAGAGTGTTCAGCAGAAGTTTTGTGGTTACAGGAAAGTGGGTGCGGAGGGAAGAGGAGCGATTGGGGAATGATGATGTAAAGAGAGTAGTAAGGGAGAAAAAGTTAGCATATGAGAAGTTTTTACAAAGTAGAAGTGATGCAAGGAGGGAAGAGTATATGGAGAAAAAGAGAGAGGTTAAGAGAGTGGCGAAGCAATGTAAAAAGAGAGCAAATGAGAGAGTGGGTGAGATGTTATCAACAAATTTTGTTGAAAATAAGAAAAAGTTTTGGAGTGAGATTAACAAGTTAAGGAAGCCTAAGAACAAATGGATTTGTCAGTTAAAAACAGGAGAGGAGAGTTATTAAATGGAAAGTTAGAGGTATTGGGGAAGATGGAGGGAATATTTTGAGGAATTGTTAAAAAGTTGATGAAGATAGGATGCTGTGATTTCGTGTATAGGCAAGGAGGAATAACATCTTGTAGGAGTGAGGAAGAGCCAGTTGTGAGTGTGGGGGAAGTTCGTGAGGCAGTAGGTAAAATGAAAGGGGTAAGGCAGCCGGGATTGATGGGATAAAGATAGAAATGTTAAAAGCAGGTGGGGATATAGTTTTGGAGTGGTTGGTGCAATTATTTAATAAATGTATGGAAGAGGGCAAGGTACCTAGGGATTTGCAGGAGAGCAGCATAGTTCCTTGTATAAAGGAAAAGGGGGACAAAAGAGAGTGCAAAAATTATAGGGGATAAGTCTGTTGAGTATACCTGGTAAAGTGTATGGAAGAGTTATTATTGAAAGAATTAAGAGTAAGACGGAGAATAGGATAGCAGATGAACAAGGAGGCTTTAGGAAAGGTAGGGGGTGTGTGGACCAGGTGTTTACAGTGAAACATATAAGTGAACAGTATTTAGATAAGGCTAAAGAGGTCTTTGTGGCATTTATGGATTTGGAAAAGGCGTATGACAGGGTGGATAGATGGGCAATGTGGCAGATGTTGCAGGTGTATGGTGTGGGAGGTAGGTTACTGAAAGCAGTGAAGAGTTTTTACGAGGATAGTGAGGCTCAAGTTAGAGTATGTAGGAAAGAGGGAAATTATTTCCCAGTAAAAGTAGGCCTTAGACAAGGATGTGTGATGCCACCGTGGTTGCTTAATATATTTATAGATGGGGTTGTAAGAGAAGTAAATGCGAGGGTCTTGGCAAGAGGCGTGGAGTTAAAAGATAAAGAATCACACATAAAGTGGGAGTTGTCACAGTTGCTCTTTGCTGATGACACTGTGCTCTTGGGAGATTCTGAAGAGAAGTTGCAGAGATTGGGATGAATTTGGTAGGGTGTGCAAAAGAAGAAAATTAAAGGTGAATACAGGAAAGAGTAAGGTTATGAGGATAACAAAAAGATTAGGTGATGAAAGATTGAATATCAGATTGGAGGGAGAGAGTATGGGGGAGGTGAATGTATTCAGATATTTGGGAGTGGACGTGTCAGCGGATGGGTCTATGAAAGATGAGGTGAATCATCGAATTGATGAGGGAAAAGGGTGAGTTTGGGGCACTTAGGAGTCTGTGGAGACAAAGAACTTTGTCCTTGGAGATAAAGAGGGAATGTATGAGAGTATAGTTTTACCAACGCTCTTATATGGGTGTGAAGCATGGGTATGATGAATGTTGCAGCGAGAAGGCTGGAGGCAGTGGAGATGTCATGTCTGAGGGCAATGTGTGGTGTGAATATAATGCAGAGAATTCGTAGTTTGGAAGTTAGGAGGAGGTGCGGGATTACCAAAACTGTTGTCCAGAGGGCTGAGGAAGGGTTGTTGAGGTGGTTCGGACATGTAGAGAGAATGGAGCGAAACAGAGTGACTTCAAGAGTGTATCAGTCTGTAGTGGAAGGAAGGCGGGGTAGGGGTCGGCCTAGGAAAGGTTGGAGGGAGAGGGTAAAGGAGGTTTTGTGTGCGAGGGGCTTGGACTTCCAGCAGGCATGCGTGAGCGTGTTTGATGGGAGTGAATGGAGACAAATGGTTTTTAATACTTGACGTGCTGTTGGTAAGTGAGCAAAGTAATATTTATGAAGGGATTCAGGGAAAACCCGGGCAGGCCGGACTTGAGTCCTGGAGATGGGAAGTACAGTGCCTGCACTCTGAAGGAGGGGTGTTAATGTTGCAGTTTAAATACTGTAGTGTAAAGCACCCTTCTGGCAAGACAGTGATGGAGTGAGTGATGGTGAAAGTTTTTCTTTTTCGGGCCACCCTGCCTTGGTGGGAATCGGCCAGTGTGATATAATAAAATATAATATATATATTTTTATATAATATATAATATAAATTATATATATATATATAATATATATATAAATATATATATATATATATATATATATATATATATAATATATATATATATATATATATATATATATATATATATATATGTCGTGCCGAATAGGCAGAACTTGCGATCTTGGCTTAAATAGCAACGTTCATCTTGCCATATAGGACAAGTGAAAATTTGTGTATGCAATAATTTCGCCCAAATCATTCTGAACCAACGAAAAAAATATATTTCACTGAGTTTGTTTAGTATTAAATTACTGTTAACAAATCTAAAATGTATTTAGTTGGGTTAGGCTAAAATAAATTGTTCTTTTTATAATAAGATTAGGTAAGTTTTCTAAGATTCTTTTGGAGCAAAATTAAAAGTTTTTACATTAACGTTAATGAAAAAAATATATCTTTAAACGTATAAGAGAAAATTTTAGAAAGGTCTTAATTTTAAATGAGTTCTTGCTAATTGACCAGTTTTACATATTCGGCACGACATATATATATATATATATATATATATATATATAATATATATATATATATATATATATATATATATATAGAGAGAGAGAGAGAGAGAGAGAGAGAGAGAGAGAGAGAGAGAGAGAGATCTGAGACAGATTCGTGCTTCACATTGACTGCTAATACAGTTTGTAGTCGTACATACCTGCTCAGGTCGTCGATATGTGGGCGTGATGACGTAGATCTTGGGCGTGGCAGGGCCCGGGTCGTCCTGGTCGATGGTAAAAACTAACTTGCGGCTGCCGTTGACGGAGGCAGGAGAGGGGGCGTGGCTGGCCGCGGCAGCAGCAGCCTGGTGCTGTGTTGGAGTCACTGCCGCAGCTGCCGCAGCCGCCGCTACAGCCACAGAGGTTGCATCCTCCGCTGCTGCAGCTGCTACCTTAACTTTCTTGTCTTCCAGGAAAGTGACATTATATGGGGCAGCTCCAGGAACATTCAACTTCTCGGGCCTCGCTGAAGAACAAATAGTGACATTAATATATTTATAAAAAATTAATGTATATACAAAGAATAAAACTCACATGTAAACTGTAAAATGTATATAAATATAAACTGCGAGGCGCAACATAAACTTCCCTCAATATTCATCTAGCAGCAAATAGATGCCTAAGAGTTATCCCGGGTTGTTAACCCTCAGGGGCTAATAATCCTAGTAAAAGCTTCTTATTAAGGAATATTAAGTTTACAGATGCACTACAAGAGGAGAGGATCATCTTATAGACAAAAAGGATCGTAAATAGTCATATATAAATATTAAAATTAACATTGCTATGTAATTTAAAGGCTGTCCACAAAGTTTCTTACAAATACACAAGATCATTAGACAGGACAGGATTCAGACGTGTTAAAGAAAATTTTTGTTCTGTTTTTCTCTTATTTATAAAACAGCAGTTACACATATTGAAACTTTTTTTTTTTACCTTAGATTACATGGGCCTCGCATATACAGCACCTTTAGAATATATGGGCCTCGCATATACAGCACCTTCTTTAGAATACATGGGCCTCGCATATATAGCACCTTCTTTAGAATATATGGGCCTCGCATATACAGCACCTTCTTTAGAATATATGGGCCTCGCATATACAGCACCTTTAGAATACATGGGCCTCGCATATACAGCACCTTCTTTAGAATACATGGGCCTCGCATATACAGCACCTTCTTTAGAATATATGGGCCTCGCATATACAGCACCTTCTTTAGAATATATGGGCCTCGCATATACAGCACCTTTAGAATACATGGGGCTCGCATATACAGCACCTTCTTTTAGAATACATGGGCCTCGCATATACAGCACCTTCTTTAGAATATATGGGCCTCGCATATACAGCACCTTCTTTAGAATATATGGGCCTCGCATATACAGCACCTTCTTTAGAATATATGGGCCTCGCATATACAGCACCTTCTTTAGAATATATGGGCCTCGCATATACAGCACCTTCTTTAGAATATATGGGCCTCGCATATACAGCACCTTCTTTAGAATATATGGGCCTCGCATATACAGCACCTTCTTTAGAATACATGGGCCTCGCATATACAGCACCTTCTTTAGAATATATGGGCCTCGCATATACAGCACCTTCTTTTAGAATATATGGGCCTCGCATATACAGCACCTTCTTTAGAATATATGGGCCTCGCATATACAGCACCTTCTTTAGAATTATGGGCCTCGCATATACAGCACCTTCTTTAGAATATATGGGCCTCGCATATACAGCACTTCTTTTAGAATATATGGGCCTCGCATATACAGCACCTTCTTTAGAATATATGGGCCTCGCATATACAGCACCTTCTTTAGAATATATGGGCCTCGCATATACAGCACCTTCTTTAGAATATATGGGCCTCGCATATACAGCACCTTCTTTAGAATATATGGGCCTCGCATATACAGCACCTTCTTTAGAATATCTGGGCCTCGCATGTACAGCACCTTCTTTAGAATATATGGGCCTCGCATATACAGCACCTTCTTTAGAATATATGGGCCTCGCATATACAGCACCTTCTTTAGAATATATGGGCCTCGCATATACAGCACCTTCTTTAGAATACATGGGCCTCGCATATACAGCACCTTCTTTAGAATTATGGGCCTCGCATATACAGCACCTTCTTTAGAATATATGGGCCTCGCATATACAGCACCTTCTTTAGAATATATGGGCCTCGCAATATACAGCACCTTCTTTAGAATATATGGGCCTCGCATATACAGCACCTTCTTTAGAATATATGGGCCTCGCATATACAGCACCTTCTTTAGAATACATGGGCCTCGCATATACAGCACCTTCTTTAGAATACATGGGCCTCGCATATACAGGACCTTTAGAATACATGGGCCTTGCATATACAGCACCTTTAGAATACATGGGCCTCGCATATACAGCACCTTTAGAATACATGGGCCTTGCATATACAGCACCTTTAGAATACATGGGCCTCGCATATACAGCACCTTTAGAATACATGGGCCTCGCATATACAGCACCTTCTTTACGACGCTCCACTTTTTCGTTGACTTCAAATTCAGCCATTGTTCATTATGTTCCAATCGCCGGCGATTGTCACCAGAAGATGGAACATAATTAACGATAAGTAAGACATGCGTAACAGTTAGGTATCTTTATTCCGAAACTTTTCGCCTACACAGTAGGCTTCTTCAGTCGAGTACAGAAAAATTAGCAGAAGCAGTAAAGATGGAGCTCCACACTATGGAGCGAAACTCTTCTCCAGGCTGAGGGACTGACCACCTCAAAACTACGTCATCAAAAGTGATGGACTGATTACATCGTGTTCACATCTTTACTGCTTCTGCTAACTTTTCTGTACTCGACTGAAGAAGCCTACTGTGTAGCCGAAAAGTTTCGGAATAAAGATACCTAACTGTTACGCATGTCTTACTTATCGTTCATTATGTTGCACTCGCCAGTGATAGTTACCAGCAGGTGCAACAATAATTCAACTGAAAGTCAACGAAAACGTTGAACACTGAAAAAAAAGGCCCTGTATATGAAGGGTCCTCCAGTACACAAGAAGACAGTACTATATCCTTTCAAAAATAAAAATAGGAACGTGGTCCCTACACACCCTGGCAGCCAACCCAACAACAGCGATGAAGGTTTGAAGCCAATCAGAAGAGAGTTTCTGAGGTTATCACACAGAGACTAAAATTGTGAATGGTGTAAATAAAATTGAGCAGAAGGTACCAGCATTTGCGACTAGTTGCACGAACCTTCCCCCAGTTAGAATACACCAATAGTGAAAGTTTGAAGCCGATCGGATTAGGCGTTCAAGTTATAAATGAAATCCTGGGATGGTATAAGGTTTCGAAGGCTCTATCCACAGCTTTATGAATAGGTATGACAGAATGCAGACAGAGTCTATTATCTGTAAATGTCGAAAAACCTGTCGACTGAGGCTGTGTCAGGAGTACCATTTCGACCCCAGCAAACACTATTCAATGAATACACACACAAACACAAATACCGGTGCTTTACGGTAGTATATCATCTATACAACTCAGCGCTGTAAAATACATTAATAGAAAATAAATGTCAGGCGGTGTGCAGTGTGTGAAGATAAACATTTTAAATAAATAACAGATCATTCCAAATACAAAGAACACGTTGAAAATACAAGAATAAAATAATCTTAAACGATAAATGACTTCGAGAAAATTAAAGATATCAGCCATTAATGATATATATATATATATATATATATATATATATATATATATATATATATATATATATATATATATATATATATATATATATATATATATATATATATAACTGTTGGTGTATATGCACAAAGAAGTGTGTATACTCCTAAAGATATAGATAGACGGAGGTATATATATATATATATATATATATATATATATATATATATATATATATATATATATATATATATATATATATATATATATATATATATATATATATATATACAAGTAGGTTCACCGTGATGGGTCGGTCAGCCTTGGAAGGTGGTGGAGATCAGTCCCTCAAGCTTCTCGGTACTGTAAACCATCACACCGTGAGATGTTTATGCAGTGGAAAAGTCTTTTCATTAATGGCACACAATACCGGAAATCTGAGGAATAAAAAAATGTGCAACACCTGGGCATCTTTACTGAAAAGACTTCAGAATTATCTCTCAGCTTCCAGTCTCCAGCATAAATGTCGCTTCTGTATTAGAGTGAAAAAAAAAAAGTCTACACAGTCGAAACATTTCGTCAGATAAGGATACCCAGATGTTGCCCATGTGTCTTATTCATCAACTTGTCGGTACTGTATACCATTAATGTAATGAGACTTGTATGAGACATCAACACCATGAGAATGCTGGTACAGATGTCTTGCACAACTGTGTTAGCAACTGATGACCCAGTTTATGGACGTGACCTACTTCCACTAGTGGGCCTTGCCCATCAGTGACGCTACCTTCAACTGCTGCACCTCTCCTTTGCTTCCGGTATGTAAGTCTCCAACCTCGTGCCTCTGCTTCAGATAGATCATGCACAAAGGATCGAAAACCTTTGTATCATCGCTTAAACTGCTCGTCAAATGTCTTTTATTCATAATACAACAAGAGGTGCATCTATTATACCAAGAAATGTCTATATACTGAGGGGAGTATATATCTCTCAGCGTAAGGAAACGCATTCACTATCATTCATTCCATCATTGTGTTGCCAGGTGCGTTTCTGACATTACAGTTCGGATGGCACTCGGCACTGTAGCATCGTCACCCCGTCCTTCAGAGTGCAAGAAATATACTTCCCATTTTCAGGACTCAGGTCTTATTCATATGATGACCCACCTTTGGTCATCTGACCAAGGCCTTCCGCTGGCTTACCGGTCCACCCCTTTAAAATTTGTGGTTATGGTTATAACCATTTCTGATTCAGGACTCACGTTCGAATTCACTTTGATCTTTGTTTTAGGTTTTAAAAAAACATTATTCTTCATATTAGCATTAAGACGAGCACAAGTAATAGTTAAATACCTAACAAGGGACCACTTGAGACCATGTAATGTTACGTTATGTGTTATATTATCATGAGCTTAATTAAAAACACGAAAGATCTATGTGAATTGTTCTGCCAGTAAGCAAGGATTTGTTGAGGTGTAACGCTTTTTTTACAGGATGAGAGATATAACGAATATTCTCCAGTCATTGTGGAGAAAAAACTCACTGTTGTTTGTTCGTTTAATCTTAAACGATAGTGTTGTTTGGTATATTTCTAGTTAGGCTAGGTTATGTTAAGGTATGTTATTACGGTAGGTTATGTTAAGGTATGTTATTACGGTAGGTTATGTTAAGGTATGTTATTACGGTAGGTTATGTTAAGGGTTAGTAGTTGTAAGTAGTAACGGTAGGTTTATGTTAAGGTATGTTATTACGGTAGGTTATG